CTCTCTCTCTCTCTCTCTCTCTCTCTCTCTCTCTCTCTCTCTCTCTCTCTCTCACTCGCTCACACGCACACACACACACACACACAAAATCAATTCACCATAGTTAATGTGGAGAAAAAGTACTTGCAAGCTTACATTGGACACATTCTGATTTTCAATTGGTGCATCAGACCCTTCCATGTTCAAATCGATATTTGTCGCATCATGCTTCTTACGTTTAAGCCTGCTAAGGGAAGCATTCCCATTCTCGAGGTAGCGTAGAACTGCTAACCTTGAAGTAAATCTCTGTCCGGTAGCCAGTTCAATATAGAACTGCACAAAGTTTAGAAGAATCAGTCCGTAGTTTAATTATTTCACACATTTGCATTTCAACGCTGAAGTAAGGGACCAATATATGTGGCATTTCAGATCTAATTTCTACAAAGACCAGCACAAATAAGGACTAAGGACCTTAGCTTGTGATACTGCTTTATAACTTGCATTTGCCATGAAGATTACAGACACTGTTTTTTTATATTTATCATCAATTATTTTCTAATACTACTCAGTTAATATATATATTACAGGTTGAAAAAGCTTGACTCCAAGATTCAGTTTCATTCGAAATTGATAAGGTAACTTACTAACTTTAAGAAAGAGCTCTTATTCCTGTAATAGGCCTTAAATGTCATACCACCTTCTGTTGGCCTAATAACATGAACTAGTTTGGTGCTCAAATTAAGAGAACAACCACCACAGAAATAAAAAAAATCCAAATTAACTTTTCTCCTACATGGAAAACCAAGAATACATTCTCTTTAACTTGAATCTGTTACTAGCCTTTAAGTTTTTTCACGACTTCCAAATTTTTGGTCATTATTGAATTCCAATTTTCTTAGTCCTCTATTTGGCAAATGTTCACTTTAAGAAAAGGAATAAAACAGCAAGTCAGGAAAATGAAAAAAAAGAATGAAATTGAATTTTACAGATCCACTACCACCTAACCCAAAAAAAAAAAATCAAATTAAGTGAACCAGAATGAAGAACTAGATGAATGAAACTGAATTTTATAGGAGCATTCAATTACGCATGCCTTAGATTGCGCTCCAGATGATTTGCCTCTCTTTCTAACTTTGGTCTCCATCATCCATCCTGTTGGCAACCAATCTGGAGGCAGCTCTTCAGCACCCATTGTGCTTACAGGGACAATCCCCGTGGAATTCAGTGAAGAATTTTCAGGCAAAGGTCCCTTCTCTTCTGCAGCCTTCATCCCCTAAAAATCGTTTAAAAAATTGATTAAAAAACCCTCCCTCCAAGAATGGTTAAAAGACCAACACTCCCTAAATACACTCCCTAAATAAACCCACCTCTCTCTCTCTCTCTCTCTCTCCTCTCTCTCTCTCTACCTCTCTCACTACTACACTACTACTACTACTACTACACTACTACTACTACACTACACTACTAC